ACATAGTGAGACTGTCTCAAAAAGAGAGGGGGGAGGGGGGATAGGGGAGAGAGGGGAGAGAGGGGAGAGAGGGAGGGAGTGACGTTGAGGGAGAAAGAGAGGAGGAAAAGGGAATTATGCATAAACATCAACTTCCTTGATACTACATGAACAGTGTAGTAAAAGTTTCAGGCCATTCTGTATACATCAGCAATTAAAGAAACCTAGCTAGTACTGGCCATTTCATTTATGTTGCTTCTATACTGGCCCGTTGGTCAAGTTTTTAATCTGAAAGTATCCTAGTGACCTGAGTAAACTACTTATCAGATCCCTAGACTTCCAGGGTACCACATAGTTATACTAACTCAATTTATTGCTTCCCCTCTGTAACATTTAAAACTATAATTTTCATGTGAAGATTTCACTGAATGTAAAAAAATTGCAGTTGATTACTAAACAATCTTATAGAAAATCATGAAGCTGGGCTGGGGATTAGCTCAGTGGTGCTGCTGCCTGCCTTGAAAGCACAAGGTCCTGAGTTCAATTCCCGGTACCAAAAAAAAAAAAGAAAAATATCATGAAACTAAACTTCCACCAGCACAAAACAAGTTGTCATTGAATTATTGCTGAAACTTTCAACTTAGCAAGTCGACTGGCCATATTGTTGCTTTTAAAGCTTAATAGCTATTGTTATTTATATTTGTTGCTCATTTACTATTTTGGTTGTAAATGTTGGCACATAAATCAACTATTTAGAATTACTGTACCTAAAGTTTTTAGTTTTTTTCTTGTCCTTATTTTTGGGTCTGAGTGGACTAAACACTTCAATTGTGCCAACATGTCCCTTACTATTCAGAGAAAGTCCCACTGGATGTACACATCACCACACATAATAATGTTATTTAACCAAGCCCAGTCAAATGTAATTTGTTTTCAACTTCCAAATTAACAATTCTATATCACACTTGCACACCAGGGACAGTGGAGTATATATAGTTTAGGAAGACCTTTGAAGTTACAAGTCTGAGTATTTGAGAATCCCAGCTAATAAACAGCTATGCATCCAGGTCAGTAGTGCCTAAACTTTTTGGCACCATAGCCGGGTTTCATGGGAAGTTTTTCAACGGATGGGGCAGGGGGTAGTTTCAGGATTAGAGCACATTACATTTATTGTGGACTTCTATTATTACTTGGAATGTATAATGAAATAATTGTACAGCTCACTGTACTGCAGAATCAGTGGAAGCCCTAAGCTTATTTTCCTACAACTAGACTGTCCCATCTGGGGACTGATGGGAGGCAGTGACATCCAAAATGTGTTGCTTATGTCATCTAGTCTGTAATCACATTTTGGTTGTTACTGCAGAGAACCCTGCTTCGGAAAAATTGGATGTTGGAAACAGAAACAGGCTTTTCAGTGCTTCTGTGGCAATCTCAGGATATTCTACCTCATGCCTCCTCAGTCATTTATCTCAATTCATCCAATTATGGTGCTAGCCAAAAGAAATACATGCCACCTCTTGAATCAGACTGTCCTAAAAGTTCATGACAAATGCCCTTAGCGAGCAGGATCAAATCTTCACCAACAGTAAGAGGCTTCTTAGCTTTAGCAATGGAGTCAGCCACCAAATATGTTTCAGTGAACAAACATTTGAAGAAGTGGTGGCCTTAATTTTTTTTCCTTTTAAAAACTCCAAACGCTTGCCTTGTAATACAAGGTGCATGGTCTCATGTGGTAAGCAGTTCTGAAGGTTTTATGTCTCATTGGACAGTTACTACATACTATATACAAAGTAGCCTCGGAAAATTGAGTGACCTCTTGCAATGAACAGGGAATGAGTGTAGCTTTTTGTTGGCAGTCCTAGAATTTTTTGCTGTCTCATTGTTGGGCCTTCTCTCTTCAGTCTCTCCAGGGACTTTTACTCATCTTCGGTTAGGGGTTGCCTGTGGGCTTACTAAAACTGAAAGACTAAGTGTGCAGTGTAGTAAAGATGGGACAAAGCTGTAAATAATAAGATTCTGACTTAAGGCATGCAACCAAATGTACAACTGAAGTACATCAACCCACTTGCCACTACAAAGCCTGTAACCATCCATATGCAGCTTGTCACTAGTAGCTTTTTTTTTCTGAGGCAGGGTCTCGCTTTGTAGCCCAGGGTGGTCTCAAACTCAGAGCGACCCTCCTGCCTCTGCCTCCTGAGTGCTGGGATCACAGGTGTGTGCCACCATGCCTGGCCTAGTAGTATTTTGATACAAGTCTGTAAGCAATTATGATTTTTGTGTAGTCAAATGTGTTGTTCCTTCCTATTTGCAGCTGCTAGCATCACCACCTCAACTCCACCACCAGTCATCAAGCATTAGATTCTTCTAAGGAGCACACACAACCTAGGTCCTTCCAATTAGCTGTTCATAGTGGTCACTCCTAGAATCTAAGGCCACCCCTGAGAGGACTTTACGTAGAGCTTAGGAAGTAATGCAAGGAATGGGGAGAGCTGCAGATGCAGCTTCACTCACCTGTGCTTACCTCCTATTGTGCAGCTGGTTCCTGGAGACCCCTAATCCAGGCAATTTACAGAAGTGGTTCAGTTTCCTCATTAAAATGGTAAAGTGGTGATAAAAATACTTATCCTTATAGTATCAGATTAGCAAACTGATTACAGCAGTGGCTGGCACAGGCAAGCACTGCTCCCTGATAACCTGCAAAAAAGCTCAGTGCATTAACTCAAGGTATAGTACTAGCCAATTTATAGCTTTACCCTACAAAGGTAGTATTTCCTTGTGTGGCAGACTGCTAAATTGAAACCTCGTTTGTTTTTGGACACACAACCACACAGCTATTAACTTTTCCACCTGTCCTTCAGGCTAAATATGGCCTTTAACAAGAAAAACAAAAATTAATTCCATATTGGCTTCAGGATCTCAGCATGTTTCCCTGACTTCTCCAGTTGTCTTCAAGTTGTTACAGGAGGACCAAAGGAAATCCTTTGGTCCCATAAAAAGAAACTACTTGTCAAGTATGGCAGAACTACTGACCACTGGGCAGCTACTGGCTTGATGGTACATACCTATAATCCTAGCTGCTTGAAACCCTGAGGCAGGAAGATCACAAGTTTGAGGCTAGACTGGGCAACTTGGCAAGATCTTAACATAAAGAGCTGGGGACATACAGCTCAGTAGTAGGCAGCTTGCCTACCATGTGTGAGGCTCTTGGTTGAACACCCAGCACACACACATACACACACACGCACACACAAAGAAAAAGGCAAAGTGCACCCCTATACAAAATTAGGTAAATGTATCTTCAAGTGTCCTTGTTCACAAGCTTAATAATCTATAGCTTACTATGCTCAGCAAATAACTTGTGAATCCTAGGGATATAAAATAGAATAAATGCTTATAAAAGGGGGGGAGTCAATATCCAGTTTTAAACCATGTTTTATTCTTAATGTAGCTAGAAATATCCAGTAACTATATTTTTAAGCAGAAAACTCCTGTTTGTTTTCCTCCTTATAGCATCATGAGCACAAAAACAACATTGTTTTAGAAATGATACTGAATCTTTCTAAAGACTGTATTTTATATCTGAGGAATTTGAAGTCAAGAAGCACAGGACACATTTTCAGAAGAGCAATTTTACATTTACCCATTTATGGTGGTATTTGCAGTATCAGAATATAGTTAGGTCATATATAGTAAAGTCCAAGAACAAAGTGGTCTTGAGTTAAGCACAGCACACACTGAAGATTTTAAGAAAGCAGAACACACATGAACAAAAAAAACACTGGCAAGCTCAACTCCAAGTATATATATGGTGGGTGTTTCTAAAGATTGTGAAAGCATGCTCCATTAGCACACAGCTCTTCCTCATTGATGTAACAAATGAATTTTTCCTCCTTGTGTACAGCAAAGGGTTAGAACCCGAATAAACATGATTCCAAATACGTAGTAATTTGGAAATGTACGTTATGAAATTTATCATTTTACTCTTGCAGGTGAAAGAGGAGAGAGCAGATGCGAGTGTACAGTTTGCAGTATTTAAGGAAGAGCTGAATAGGATACGGAATCTTCATAGTGCCAACAACTCCAAAGCAAATAACTGTGGCTTTCATCTCTTTTATAATTTATATTGCATCAAGCAGTTACTCCCTATATGTGTATTAATTAATTCAAATCATACGCTCTTCAAATACAAAGATGAATACTACAGGATAAACTATAACTACAATATGTATTTCCTAAGAGAAACACCAAAGGGAATTTCTCCTTCCAATGTCTTGATTTAACAAGATTTTTCCAGACTGAAGTATGACACTTAAACAAGCAATTCCATGGCCAAGAAACTACACCTATTATGGGTATTACCTGACATGTACTACATATTAAATTAAACCCAACATTAAATATGCTTGCACAATTATACTGGGAATGATGATAACAGTGATGACTCTAGTGAAAAAAAGATAAACTTTAGCTCAAGATTAGAGGGGAAAATACAAGCAGAAAGCAAATAGAATTGGTCATTTTCTGATGATGAAAGATATTTTTAAACAGATATATAAAAAGAAACATACTCCCATATGTCCCCAAGTGGAAATAATATGAAATATTTATTTGATATTTTGGATAAGAATAGAGCTAAATAACCCAACTTCCTCTGTGGCTGAAGAAAAAAAAAATCACCTTATTAGCACAGTGTAAGATTTAAATGCAAACTGTACAAGGGTATATACTATATAAAATATTGTGTAAGACTGCTGCTGCCCTACCAGTACTTCCAGTCCCTATCCACGTCATATTCAAATACTGGTGGTCCCAATAGTTATACTGAAATAAATCATCTTCGAAATAAAAAAAGAAAAACCTTTAAAAAGACAAATCAAAATGCCTTAGTAACCATACAACCAACTCAAACTTTATCTACTTAAATGAGATTTGCTTCCCACCAAAAACTTTGTTTCACTCACACTAGATCCATAGATCTCCCATATTTAAGTATCTTCCTTGCCCAATAATTTCAAGGAAAAATCTAAAATGATTAACAAAGAAAAATGTAAGAATAAACCCTTTGAATTTGCTTTAAATTATTTTTAAGATTTAAAAAGTGTTTAAGCTTTGTAATTCCTAGTAGGAAAACATTATCTGCATGAATACCCTAATGGCAAACCATTGTAAAACGCTTCAGCTGCATTTGGTGCAGAGGGGCAGGGATTATCTTCAAAGCACCCCAGCTCTCCTGATGAGAAGGTCAGAGGTACACTGGTTTGTATTATTGCGACATCCATTAAGTGATCTAGGTTGTTTTTCTTTCAGAAAGGACTTTGTCAGATGAGCATTACGCTTGACCTCCGAATTTGGCTGACAATTTACTGATGAGATTCATAACCTTTGGATTACTCTGATATTTTGACATATTTGCAGGATTCTGAGCCACATCCTGGAAGGCCACCATAACTTCTGGATCCTGCAAAGAAAGAATTTGTTATTTTAGTATTTAAAAAGTATCCCATTGTATTAAGTTTAGTACCCCAAATCCAATCTCCTTACGTTTATAATTTTGTCATGGTAAAATTAACTGGAGTATAGACAGTCTGAAGTGTAATTATTAACGTGCACTTCTCAAAGTCAAACTCGCTTGATTTCCAACTTTTATTTTTTGGTATCGGGGATCATGGTGGAACCATTGAGCTAAATCCCCGGTTCAAACTCACTTGAATTGGATGAAGAAAGCACATAAAATACTGATAACAAAAATGAACAAATGGACACAATTAGCAATACCAAAACCAATTCTTAAAAACTTAACCTACTTACTCCAAAAAGGAAATGACTGTTACACTAACAAAATTAGCTATTTGATAACTTAGGTAAATTAAAAAACGGCTAAGAGAGTGATCTCTGTCATAACACAAATCTGAAAGACACGCCTCAGTGATTAAAGTCCAACTCTCTTCTTCAGTCTTACCTGCATGGCTGCAAGAACCTCTGGATCACTAAGAATCTCATTGAGCCCTGGCATTCCTGCCATGCCAGCTCCCATTCCAGGCATCCCTCCTGGAAAATTACCAGGCATCCCCCCAGGAAAGCCACCTGCAGGAATAAAGGAAAGAACTGTATGACACCAACCAGGTACTCCCAAGTACTTCCAAGTCTTATACATGGTTTTCTTCTGATTTAAAAATATGCACACACCCAAGTACAGAGCAAGAGTGCCACTAAACACAAAGTAATCTGAATATTCTAATCTGATTATAGTTAAAAGATACAGACTGTAGCTTAAAACTAAAGAGCCAATAGTCCCTCAGTTATAAAACTAAAAAGCATTTCAATAATCTCTTAATTCCTCTTTCTTAAATATTATTTGCCAGTTTCAATATAAAGTTAACTTCATCAGTTCTGTATATATTGACCTACAGGAATTATTCCCCCCAAAACTATCTGTGTTACAAAAATCTATGGATTTCTGATTCATACCTCAGAAATAATCTCTCAATGTAATACTAAAAATCAGCACTTTTTTTTTTGTACTGGGGATCAAACTCAGGACCTTGCGCTTGCAAGCCAGGCATGGTACTGCTGAGCTAAATATCCCCAGCCCTCGAAATGAGCACTTTTAACATGCACTCCTGGTAACTATTCTTTAGAGAGAACAATTTGCTGGCAAAAAGGATTTTCATTCTCCCAGTCATTTTTAGATTATATTCCCACATTATTTGTTTCTTTACTAAAATAAACTATATGTCCATTGAAAACTTTGAAATCACTATTATGCTACAGAGGCACCATAAAGGGAAAAACAAGTAACATTAATATATTCTATAGAGCCATTAATATTAATATATTAATATATTCTATATATTCTATAGAGCCATTAATATATTCTATACTATATTCTATAGTAACATTAATATAGTCTATATTCTATAAGATGAATATATTCTAAATCCCTAATAAAAAAAAGAAGCAAACACAGGCCCAGGGATTTAGCTCAGTGGCACTGTGCCTGTCTTGCAAGCACAAGGTCCTGAGTTTCATCCTCAGTAAGGGGGTGGGGGGTGGGGGCAAACATATGTAACAATCACTTCTACCAGGCTCAATGGTTAATTCAAACATGGCCATAAATAATCACATATGAAGAGATCTAAGATTTGAAAATTTCTAGCTTCTCTTACAGCTCCTACTGATGCCAATGCTTTGAAAAATTAATTCTTCAACATAAAAAAATTATTAGCCTGACTTATCAAATTTAGATAATAAAATACTATCTCTAGTTCTAGTCCACATTAGTGGTCATTTTCTAAACCAAAAGTACTTGTTATTTTAAAGACATAAGGTATGAGCTAAATGTTATTTTGTTCTTTATCTTTTAAAATTATTGAGTGCATATTGTAGAATAAAGTTTACATTTTCTAGCTTTGGACCAAATACCTAGTTAAGTTCTAGCTGTGGCATATAACCATAAATGGGCTCTATAAATCTTTTTTTTTTTTTTTTCTTGAGACAGGGTCTTACCATGTAGTTCAGACTACCCCTGCACTATGTAGCACAGGCTGGGCTCTAACTTGCAGAAATCCTCCTGCCTCAGCTTCTCAAATACTGGAATTAAAGGTATGTATCAGCATGCCCAGCTATAAATCTTGCCTAAGATTGCATCTACCATTACAGCTAGAAGAGTTTAGAAAAAAAACTTTTTGTAATGTCCTCCTGGCCTTTGTATAAATCTTACACTGCCTCATTCAGGAATTATTCTGTGTTGCTTTCCCCTCTCATATCTGCCTGTTAGTCTCTTGGTACCATTCAAAGGTCTGTCTGGCCAGAAATTTCTGATCCCAACATTTGCAAGGGAGAATGTGTGTTTGTTTGGTTTTTAAAATTTATTTGTTCAGTTGTTTGATTTTTTGAGACAAGAGTCTTGCTTTGTAATTCAAGCTGGCCTTGACCTCACTAGGTAGACCAGGCTAGCTTCCAACTTATGGTGATACTCTTGCCTCAGCCTCCCAAGTGCCGGGATTATAGGCATGCACCACCATGCCCAGTTTAAGAGAATGTGTTTTAATACTGGATTTAAAAAACGTTTTATGCCTAATAATTCCAAATAATGTCCATATAGTGTATTTTAGAAGGTATCCTCATAAATACCAGTTTAATAGAACATAATTCAATAATGGTAATTCAGAAATAATTAGATAACATCATAATAATAAAGTAAAATGGAAGCTATAATTAAAAGGTACACCTCTCAAATTGTGAAGAAAGATGCACTATATTTCCACTAACGTAAAATTTTTAATAAGAATAAAACTTTCCAGATTAATTTTTTCTGTGTTCTAGGGACCAATGGTACTAAACATATTTAGTACATAAATCAATCTGTGTGTCATACACACACCTGAGCCTCCAAAATCAGAATATATCTTAATTATTTACAGTACTAATAGTTTTACTTTTTCTTCAAATATACCTGGAAAAGAGCCATACTGAGCCCCTGCCTGTCGTCTGGCTTCTTCCTCCTTTAAAACAAAAAAAGAAATAAATTATATAATGGGCATGCAGGGAAGTTTGTGCCTACCCCTAACTGATACAATCAAATTCATGAAAAAGTTATACCAGACAAAAGGACATAACCTATCCCCCTTCAAAAGTTCCCTCCTTCCCTCTCCTCTCTCCCTCTTTCCCTCCCTCCCTCCCTCCCTCTCTCTCTTCTCTCCCTCTTTCCCTCCCTCCCTCCCCCTCTCTCTTTCTTGACAGAGTCTCACTATGTAGCTCAGGCTGGCCCTAAACTTGCACTGATCCTCTGCCTCACGCTCCCAAAGGCTGGAATTACAAGTGTGTGCCACCAAGTGCCAGGCTCATTATCTTTCATTAAGAGCCATGAATCCACTGTTGCAACTGAAGGAATCTTAAAATAATTCTGGGCAAAGATCCTCAAAACCCCGCACTTAGTTATATCCCCTTCCAAACTTTGATTTTAGAGAAATATTATAAAGAAGAATGAACCTAGGAATTAAAATAGTACCCTAAAAATCTGATCTACTTTAGTGCCTTTTCATGGGTCAGCTATAGAAACTACCCTCTGGTAGGCCGGAGATGTAGCTTAGTAGCAGAGTGCTTGCTTAAATGCACAAGGGCCTGGGTTCAATCTCCAGCACTGCAAATCAAAAGAAACAAAGAAATATTACCCTCTGGGCTCTTTCATGCTCTTCTCGAGCCTTCTTAACCCTTTCTATTCTTTCTTTGATCTCTCGTTCTTCACGTTTTCGTTCGTACTTTCTCCGATGTTCAGCAATTTTCTGGGCCTAGAATAAAAGAGCCACAGAAAGTAAGTTGCTCCAAATATTAGATAAGGTAAATATAAAAGTTAAGAGTAACTTTTCTTTGTGGAGAGTTAATTCAGTATGTGGTTACTTTAAAAAAATGTCAAGGCCCCGGAATTTAGCTCAGAGGTGCTCCCTCCTGCCTCGCAACCACAACGTCCCAAGTTCAATACCCGGTACAAAAAAAGAGACAGATGTATATTATAGAAAAATACCTAACATAAACTCAGGCTTTAACAAGACCAATATTTAAAAAAAAAAAAAAAAAAAAACAAGACCAATATTAGGTGCATGAAACACTGTGAAACAAAAGAGGGATGCATGATTAGAAATGTTATACTCCTCAAACAACTGTCTAAGCTCAAGGACAAGAAATAGGCTCTTCATGCAAGACAATTCTTGCTTAGTAGTGTCTACCAGCTGTGTAGTGTTAGGAATTCAGAAATTACAGTGAGTCAGTAGGAAAATTATCATTAGTGATGTATGCCATGGGAAGGCAGACATCAGAAACACACACCAGTTGTTTGCAATCTAAGTTTCCTCATCCATAAAATGGGGGAGGAGGCCACAAACATTTAGTCTTCAGGCTAGGGATGCAGCTCAGCAAAAGAGTTTGCCTAGCATTCACAAGCCCCTGACTTGAATACCCAGCACTACAAACAAAACAAAACCGTGGGAATAATTTTTTGAAATCATAATCTCCCACGAAGGAGAAACACACAAATATATTAAAATTTTATATATATTTTTAAATTTTATTACTTATTTTTTTCCCCCTACCCCGGTACTGGGGATAGAACTCAGGACCTTGCGCTTGAGAGGCAGGCGTAGTGCCACTGAGCTAAATCTCCAGCCCAATTTTAATAATTCTAAATAGAATCATGATAATCTTAGAATATTCTAGATCAGTGGTGATGAACCTATGGCACACATGTTACTGTGTTTCTCATTTAAGACAAAAGATGTGAATAGAGTTTTTTTTCTAAACTAAAACCTTAGTACTATATTCAGGTTTCATTGTAAGTGTTGCACTTTGGAATAAATAAAGTGGGGTTTTAGATTGCAGTGTGGCACTCAAGTCTAAAAGGTGTGCCATCACTGTTCCAGATTTGGGATTCAATATTCCCCTTTTAAAAGGTTGAATCTTTATAACTTTAAGGCCCTCGTGTTTTGTTAAAGTGGTTGTACTATATACACCTATAGTACAGAAAGATAAACCAGAGGTGATCTTGGGTCATATTTTGCAGATTTTCCAGTTCTTTCCTTAGAAACCTGCCTTTTCCATTTCTGATGCTCCAGTTTTATTTCCACTGTGGTTTTGCAAACAAAGTAATAGAGCTTGCTCTAATACAGCATAAGAAACGAAAGCATAAAAACTTACTGAGATTTTAAGAGTACAAAGTTCAGTGATTAGATTATAACTTCTAAATCTTTTTTTGCATCTATTTCAAGTCCTTGAACCAGTGAGTTTCCTTTTCTCTGCATGAACATACCCTTGGCTGAACTTCTTTCAGCATTGCACTCGCATCTTCATCATAATCCAGTTTACAGGCAAGGGCAAGATCATGGGCTGCTTCTTCCCAATGCCCCAGAAGTCTGAAACAGATAGACGCTCATTTTAAGTCTTTCACACATTCGTTCTAGTAGCATGATCTTTCTTCCGGATAAAAAAAGGATTGTCCTAGATTGCGTTACATATTAATAACATTTCATCAACCAATTCAATACTGTGTTACTGTGTTGCCTAATTCTATAAAAACTTGAAGGAGTTTATATTTCCTCAATGGCAACTCTGAAGTTGCTCTCCTAGTTAAAAAAAAATGTTTAAAAGATAAAATATAAGCCAAGCATGGTGGCACATGTCTGTGATCCCAGCACTTGGGAGGCTAGGCAGTGTAAATACCATGAGTTTGATGAAAGCCTGACAGAATGAGTTCAAGGCTAGGGTGGAATAAATAGCAAAACCCTGTCTCAAAAAATACAAATAAGTAACTCTCTTAATTCAGAACAAGACATCAAAAATAGGAAGTAGAGCAGTCTTTTTTTTTTTTTTAATTTTTTGAGACAGGGTCTCACTATGTCACTATGTAGTTCAGGTTGCCCTCAAACTCACAGCGACCCTCCTTGCCTCAGCCTAATAAGTAAGCACCACCATACTTTGCCAGCAATAATTTTCAACTCACCAAAAAGACTGACATAATAGATATTTAGGATGGTACTTTCTTTGTACTCAGAAGGAAAAAAAAACCATGCATATGTGCCCACTTTATTGGGGGGGAGCTCAAAAATAAGGCTAGCAGGGGTAGGTAAGAGAATGGGATGCAGGGGACAGTGACGGAAATGAGAGCTCTATGGGTATACTTTTAATTCAGTTTTGCCTCTTCAAATGATAAAATTAAATGATATTATTTATTCAAACAATAATAAAATTAGAAAAGATGAAAATAAATCCCAAACCTGAACAAAAACAGAAATAAAAGGCTAACTATACCACAAGGATAACAAACAGAAATGAATTCAAGTAACTTTTTAAGTTATTTTAACTATTTTAAGTGGGATATGTCCTAAGGATGAGAACTACCAAAAACAAAAAAAAGAACCCTTCAAACTTTGGAGGACTTAAGTATAAAAAGTCTCATTCATATTATAGGACTACGTAAATAAATATATTAGGGTCAAAGGTTTTGCATATATGAGACAAGTGTGAAAAATATAAAATGACAAAAAGGAAAACATTAAATGCTAAATTTTAATTGAAAATATCAACAAAACTGAGTTTTTTCATTAAAATGCTAATTTGAAAGAAGTTTTTGGCTAGCACTGTTCATAGAATGTCAGTAATGACATACCATGAATACACCTTACTCCCCAAATCCTAGTTTTCACTAACAAATGATAGCTTCTTGGGAAAATGGTTTAATAATTCTACCGTAGACAAAGTTCAAGATGAGCCTATGTTATCTTATACCAAAAGGCATACTTGAAGACTAGTGGGAATTCAAAAGGCTCAACTAAAACATGTGACATTTTCCTATCCCACATAGCATTAATAAGATTTATTTAAACTTCTTACCTTTCTCTTTGACACATCTTTATAAAAATCAGTAGTTATCTGAGTCACCTAACACAGTTGTCCACAAGAACATCTATCTTCATCTATACACACACCTGAAGTATAGAGCTTTTTAAATCATACAAGACATAAATTTCATCGCTAAAACATAAATATTCATTTGTGTAACACTAAATTTTGCCAACAGGAATGATTACTATAAGCTGAGGATAAGTTCACTGTTCCTTAGGTTCAATCCCCAGCACTGCAAAACAAAACAAAAAACAAAACAACCCAGCCAGAAGTGCTAGTGCATGCTTGTAATGCCAGCATTCTAAGAGGCTAAGATAAAGGATCATCCTGGAGGGCAAATTTGCAAAACCCTTCCTCAAAATAAAAAGGCCCTGGGTTCAATCCTGGTATCTAAATAAATAAAATAAATCAGCAAAAATATATTTACAGAGTTCTGAAAATAATTAAACTCCACTAATTTACCTGTGTGCTTTCCCTCGCCATTTGTACGGCTGGGCTGAATCAGGATTTATTTCAATGGCTCTGTCACAATCTCGAATGGCAGCATTTGGCTTCTGCAATTTGATGAAGACACTAAAAAAATATGACTGATTATTAAAAAATATCCATTTTAAACAATAAGACCTTTTGGCATTACCAGGGAATTGTAGTTAAACAAATGAGCAGAAATTATTCACCAGGGGTGCTTTTCTATTTAGAGTTCTCACCTGGCTCTCTTGGCATACAGAATGGCCAGGCGAGGATTCAGTTTAATGGCATCTGTGAACAAGTCAATGGCTTTCTGTAGTTCACCTAAAGTGAAAAAAAATTACTGAGAAATATTTAGAGGATAAAAATATTAATGAAATAACTTGATCTGTTATCCAATTAAGTCTTTTACATTCTTCTTTAAACCCAGTAAAAGAGGAACAGCACCAGGCGTAAGGTTACAGCTCAGTGGTAGAGTAACTGCTGAGCATGTGAGAGGATCCTCAGAATCACAAAAAAGAAAATAAACCAGATGTGGTGGTGAATGCCTTTAACTCCAGCACTCTGGGAGGATAACAAGTTCCAGCGCAGCCTGTGCAACTTAGCAAGACTAAAAACAAAACACCAAAAAACAAAAACCTGAACCCTTAAATTCCTATCCCATCTCCAAATCTAATTTCCCATCTTTACCTTCTCAACCAAATAAAAGGTTCCTCCTTCATTTTTATTTAGCTACTTCAGGAGTTGGCAAACTTTCTGGAAGAGCCATACAATAATTATTTTACCCTTGGCAGACCACAGTCTGTCATAACTACTCAAAGATGCAACTGTTATGGAAAAGCAGCCACAGTTAAGTGTCAGACCTGGAATTTGAACTCTGGTGCACAGTCCAATCTTTAACTATATTCCTGTCTCTGCAAGTGAAAATGCCTTTACCAACTCCAGGGGGGCTTGAATTCATAATCTCTGGCTCAGAGTGCTTGTTTTATCACTTAGATACTGTAAAAATTGCACAAATTCTAAAATTAGAACTAGATCAAATTTATAAATGAGTAAGGAGCTTAGAAAGACAGCAAAACAAAACCATGATTTATGAGGTGGTAGGTTCATTTTCATCACTAAATACTGGTAAAACAATTTTTAAAATGTCAAAATGAGTGATAAAAATAATAAATTAAGTGACAACATGGCAAAGATCCTGTGCAAGTCACTTTTTTTTTTTTTGGTACAAAGGATCGAACTCAGGACCTCATGCTTGTCAGGCAGGCACAGCACCAATGAGCTAAATCCCTAGCTCAAGTCACAACCTTTTTAAACCCCCAGGTTTTTAATCTAAAAATTAGTTTGTATGAGGTTCTAACGAAATAATGTACACAAAAACATTAAACTGGCATTCAGGGTAGTAAATAAATGTTGAATAAATAGTAATCTTAGATGGTAGGAAAATTAAGGTTATTATAGAAAACGATTAGTTAGGAAGAGTACTAGCTGGGAATACGTGTTAAATCTGAATTAAAGTTTGTAAAAAAACAAACAAACAAAAAAAAAAAACGGTGACAAAGAGCTATTTAAGGGGCTGGGGATGTAGAACACAGTTACAGCACCTGCCTGGGACTCTTAAGGCCCTAAATTCAATTCTTGGTACCAAAAAAAAAAAAAAAAAAAAAACAGCTAAGAAGTAGTCAAGCACAAGGAAAGGAACAGTGAGATCTGACAGGAATGAAGATTATTATTCAAAAAGAGAAAACAAAGGCTGGGGATTTAGCTCAGTGGTTTTGCTGCCTGCTGCGCAAGCGCAAGGACCCGAGTTCGATCCCCGGTACCAAAAAAAAAGAGAGAAAACAAAGACGAGAAGGTGAAATATGGAGAATGACTAGCAAGCGGACATGGTATAAATGAAGATCTTCAAAATGTATATACATGCCAGGCGTTGTAGTACAAGCGTTAATCTCAGCACTCAAGAGGCTGAGGCAGAAGGATTGCTTCAATTTTGAGGCCAGCCTGGGCTACACAGTGAGTTCAGGGCCAGCCTGAACTACACAGTGAGACTGTCTCAAACAAAAAAGTCTGTACAAATGGTCAGATTACAAAAAAGTAATAATATATAAAGCAGTTCTTAGTAAAGAAAACAGGAATTTCAGGTAGGCAAACTATTAATGCAATGGCAACAAAAACAGTAAAGCATGTGATAAGGATCTAAACTAAGAAGGTGGTAGGATTACAAAAAAAGAAGTGAATGTGTTTGCCAACTTGGACAGCAATACTGAACTCATCCTAAAATAAACTTCAAGTCATCTTCCCAATCTATTATGCATGAAGTCCAAATGCAAAAAATCAGCCTTGTGATGACATATATTTAACTGCAACTCAATGACACTCTAGTCATACCACTATGTAGAGGTTCACATTAAATGATACTGGTAGTAGTAACGGCATCTGAGTTTATAATGGCTTTTAAATTAAAACTGAATAAACACTACACATTATACTACCAACCCTCTCATTCTGACAGAATATTCTGAAGATCTAACATACAAGAACTAAAAAGTGTTCAATGTCTAGAAATACCATCTGTCAAGAGTATTATTATGTAAAATTTACAGGTCATCACTCATTTTTGAAAAGTTGTTCATCTTCTAACACTTTCTCAGTGGACTTAACACCAGTGACACCCTCAGGAAGGCAGACCCTGTGAGTTATACCAGGATCTGTCCAAGCTCTGAAGAAAGGTTACTGAAACTCAGTGACTTCAGCCTCTTTATCAATAAAAAGAGGTGGCTGGATAATAGGGCACTATTTGCTCCAGTATACTAAAATAATAAATGTAAGTTTCCTTCAACTTTCCCACTATTTAACAATCACTGCAATAGAAAACATTCACACTATATAGATATGAAGCAAAGAGAAAAAAATTACCATCATTTAGAGCATCAATGGCAGCCCCTTTCTTTTCATTTGCTTGATCCATCATCTCCTCAGTTATCTGACAAGAAATAGAGAATTATCTTAGAAGTAGCACAGGAATGGGGGAAAAAAGAATCAGGCTATATTATGTATAGGTACAAATTCTCTATGATGAATGTGATCATTATGTGTACCAAAACTGTACCAATGAAATAAAAAATAAAATAAAAAAGAAGTAGCAGAGAAAGCAAGAACAGGAAGCAATCTGGACTTAGTTACAACCCACATTTTCATTTATTATTCACTTGTCTCCAGGAAACAAAGAGGATAATAATAACTCATGGTAATTTACACAGAATGAGCTTGAACCTTTCATTTACTTAGTTTTTTTGAGACAGGGTCTCACTTTGTAGTTCAGGCTGGCCTCAATCTCGTGGCGATCCTCCTGTCTCAGTTTCCCGAGTGCTGGGATTATAGGCATGCACCACCATGCCTGGCAAGCTTGAAACTTTTATACTAAACAAATTTTACTCTCTTCCCGCTGCCCTTGATGACCTCTGCTTTGCTCCATCTCCAATTTTAGTATATATGGTGCTGAACCAAGCACTGCTCCATCATCTCCAAAGTATGTTGCTGCTTTACTTTGTAGTTTTACCACCTCCCTCATAGCTATCCATAAATATCAAACCCAATCTCCTCTCAAAGATGTAAACTAATTCCTTTTAAGCTTGAATCCTCAGAAGAGAAAGGTCTCATTCATTTATTTCCATAAAAATCAACTCAGCACCTATACTAGACAAAATAAATAGAAGATGTTGGCAGCACAAGGGTTAGTTGGAAGAAAAACTTACAGCAAACATCTTGTCTAAAATGCTAAGTTCAGAAGCAGTTCGGTTAACTATATCCACTTTATAATCACAACTGTGTAAAATAGTTAAGTGGAGAGGCTGGGCATTTCATTGAGAGAATGAGTTGACAGGGAGGTCTAAGAATTGGAAGGAAAGGTGCAAACTATCTAGAAAATCCAAAGCAACTGTCAAGTTATTAGAGCTAGGAAGATAACTCAATAAAGGTGTCAGGTGCAAGAGTAATATACAAAAGACAAAAACCAGAGTTCCTAGCTGAATGGAGCAATGCATAGGTGTAATTCTAGCATTGTGGGAGTCTGAGGCAGGAGAACTGCAAATTCAAGCCTAAATTGGGCAATTCAGCAAAACCTTCTCAAAAAAACCAAACAAAACAAAAAACAGGGATGAGGATATAGCTTGGCAAGCACACAGACACTCACATACACATTCCACAAAAACTTAGCCACACCACAAACTGAAACTATTAAGTGCAGTTTCTAAGATCATACAAGACCTTCATGGGGGAAAAACCTAAAATTCTATTAAAGAACAAAAAAAGACTTCAAGAAACTTTGATATGTAACATGTTCATGGAAAAGAGATGACTGTGCATATTTCAATGTACCTTCAACTTAATAAATGCAAGCAATTCCAACAAAACTCCTTTGACAAAATTTTTTAAGATTTTAAGAAAAACATTTTTACCAGATAGTAAGACATTCTATACAAAGCTAGGGTAATTTTAGAAAATTACTAAAAGAAAGAAAAGACCTAGCCAAGTATGGTAGCACACACTTGTAATCCTAGTACTTGAGAGGACTGTCGGGAGGGGTCATTTTGAGTTTAAGGCCAGCCTGTGCTACACAGTGAATTTAAGGCTTGCCTAAATCTCATAAGGAGATCCTGTCTCAAAACAAAAGATCCGCCTCCTGCCTCAAAAGCTCAAGCTCCCGAGTTCAATTCAGTACCAAAACAAACAAAAGAAGACTTCTGCTTAGGCAGCATGGCATACATCAGTGGTGGCAAACTTACAGCATACCTGTTAGCATGTTTTTCTTTTAACACAAAAGATATTAACATAGAGCTGGTTTTTTCTAAACTAAAACCTCGGTATTCGGGTTTAATTGTAGTGTCGGCACTTTGAGATAAATAAGTGGGTTTTGAGACAAGGTCTCCTATGTACTCCTGGCTGGCCTTGAACTATGTACCCCAAGCTGGCCTCAAACTCATGGGGGATCCTCCTGCCTCAGCCTCCTGAGTGGTGGGATTACAGGTGTGCAAAAATGAGGGTTTGGGGTTGCAGTTTGACACTCAGCCATCACTGGCATATGATACCCTGAAAAGTCTAAAAGCAATCAAATCATTTTTGCTCTAACAATGTAGATATCTTCAAACAAGACTGGATGAAGGCTGAAATTCAGTGAGGTAGCCAAGAGTTCAATTTGCTTCCACCCTTTTAGCAGTGTCAAATCTAGCACCTTACAATTTTTTTTTTTGGTACCAGGGATCAAACTCAGGACCTTGAACTTGCAAGGCAGGCAGGGGAACCACTGAGCTAAATCCCCAGCCCACAATTTTTTTTTTGAGGGAAATGCAGGACACTGGAGGCAAAGTAAAGATTCAGATGAAGAGAAAGTAGACAATCTAACCAGACATTGCCCAAATAAGTCTTGAGCTCCAAATATCTACACAGGCAAATATAATTGTAAATCAAAAATAAACCTGTCCCACACAAAGGGTCAGTCAAATGCAGAAGAGGAAAAAAAAATTTCTCCTGAAAATTTCAAAACCACGAGCCAGACTGTTCATTCACCTGCAGATCCACATTACCTGGTTACTAAACAAATACATAAAAATATCATCCTGACAATTTAAAGTGGCCCTTGAGCTGGTAGTGCCAATTCTGAGCTTTGTTAGAAGCAAATATATTTCTTTTTGGAAGAACCTACTTTCTAGCCAGACCTCAAACTTTCCACAGGTGAAGTTCTAAAGGACTCATTGTCAAAATCATACACACACACACACACAAGTAATCAAGGTACTACTGTGGACAAGAGCTAGAAAAAATGAAAGAATATGACTAGCAAAAACCCAACAAAGCATTTAATGTGTTTAATAAATGCAAACTCTGAAAATGAGTAAAGAGCAACAGACTTAGAAATAACCAAGACTTTCAGCAAAAGTTTCAAAATGAAAACCATAAATATTCCAATTCAATCACCAACAGGATAGACACAGTCAGCATAGTGATACAATAAATAGATAAAGCTTTACAGTAAAAAAGGTTAACATATGTCTAATCAGTGTTCCAGAATAAGAGAACAGAGAATGGGGGAAGATGTGACATTTGAAAGATAACAGAAGAAAATGCTCCAGCACTAAAGAATGCTACAACCCTAGAATTTAAGATGCTCAACAAATCCCAAGCAAAATACAGCACACTGAGGTTAAAACAATCCCATTCAAAAAACAAGCATACATTTTCTAGACAGTTCATGTCAACTTGAGGGAATTATATCCTCCCCCTATCTTGTTTTAAGTTTAATGCAATTCTAATGGGGGCAGGTGGACCCAATTTTTAAAAAAAGGAGACGTGACATCTGGTCCTAAACTTTATATGGAAAACACAAAAGCCGAATGACAGCCCCTAAAAGACCCAGTCATATATGGAAACTATTATTTTAGCATTGGTGAGGAAAAGAATTCTTCAATAATGGTACTCCAAGTAAATTACAGGTGGAAAGCAAACATAAAATTTTCAGAAGGGAAAACAATTTATTACAGCAAAGATAACACTGAGGTAACAAAAGCATAAAAAGAAAGTAACAATTTAACTGCATTAAAAGATACTGTTCATTGAGACAACATAAGAAAGTGAAGACAGCCACAAATAAGATATATGTAACACAGATAAAAATTGCTAGTGTCCAAAGTAGTAAAATGAACTAGAAATCAGCAAGAAAAAGACAAGGAACCTAGTGTAAAAATCGAGGAAAAAACTTCACACATGCATGTGAACAACTAAGATATTAGAATATACTCAATCTAATCAGAAATCAGGAAAATGCAAATTAAAGCTATGAGAACATAACTATTTCATACAAGACTGATAAAGATAAAAGCTGATGGTATCAAGTGCACAGGGTCAGGGATTTAGCTCAGCGTCTTGAGTTTGATCCCCGGTACCAAAAAAAAAGTGTAGAATACCAACAAATCTTTTAAGCTGCTATTACAATTAATATTTTCTGAACCTTTTTTTCTTATTAGCCACAAGCTTATTTTAGACACTTTTCTCTAATTTCCATTTCCCTTTTTTTTTTTTGGTACCGGGGATTGAACTCAAATGCTTGCGCTTGCGCAGCAGGCGCGAAACCACTGAGCTAAATCCCCGGCCCTCCATCTCCCTATTTTAAAACTATATGTCAATGTGCCACAACTCTGAAGAACCACTAACCACGGTAATAACTATAATTTTTCTAAGTCCCAGCTCTCAAGGACAAACTTCCACCCTTTAAAGGCCCTTTGTGACAAACCATTTTGGAAAACAATGTAGCGTCAGATACCCCATTAAGAGGCAATTTTACCTGTAGATATATACTTTAGGTGGACTCTACAGCTTAACAGTCAAGCTAGAGAGAAATTTAAAGAGCAGGTATAGCAAATATAAACAGATTTCAGATACTGCTAGAGAATATGGCTTAAAAAAAACAGGAAGTTTTACAAATATTTTAGGTAGCAAAATAAACTGCTTGGCTAGCCAGGGATTTAGCTCAGTGGTTTTGCTGCCTGCTGCGCAAGCGCAAGGACCCGAGTTTGATCCCTGGTACCAAAAAAAAAAACCTGCTTGGCTAAATGTCTTCAGTCAGTGAAAGATTTAGTAAGTGCGTTTCCTGTAAAAGTCATGTCATAAAGTAATTCCAACACCAGGGAACTTCATATGCCTTACAATAAGCAGAAAATAAGTCACTGAACTTACCTCTACATTTTCATCTCCCATTTCTTGAGGGGTATCAGTGTCTGGTTCAATTACACCTTCATTGTCGATTTCTGCCAAAGTTGAGAAAAATCACAGTAAGACCTGTGCTGTACAATATAGTAGCCACAACCTATATGAAATTATCATAAATGCCCTTCTCCTTGGTTTTGTGAGGAGGGTCATGTTATGTAGTCCAGGCTGGCCTTGAACTCATTTATGTTGCCTAGATTCGCCTTGAATTTGCAATCCTTCTACGTCAGCCTCCCAGTGCCACCATGCCCTGCCAAAAACTAAAAAATGATGAACTATGGACAGTGCAACTGAAATGAGTATTTTAACTGTTATTTAAATATTAAAGTGCTGTAAATATCTCACTATTAAATATAACTTCACCATTTTCATAAGACTACCACTTTACTGTCACATTACGTCAAATACTTTTCATTGGATTGTAGAGGAAATGGAGTGTGGGTTGTAGTGCTACACATAAACACCACTGAGTGTCAACAAAATCATTCAGTTCAAATAATTTTCTGCATAATGATGTACTACAATGTAGTTTTACAAAATACTTTATGCAGATAACATAAGTTAACAATCAATTAGTACTAATTAAAACTTTTTAATATACCTACTTTCATTTTTAAAAACAATATGAACAAATTTTACTTTAAGATAAAAACATACTACTGACACAGAATCAAGTCTCAAGGCTAGTATTATTATTATTTTTTTTTTTTTAAGGCTAGTATTATAACCAAAACAGCAAGGACCAGGACCGGGGATTTAGCTCAATGGCACTAAGCCTGCCTCACAAGCGCAAGGTCCTGAGTTCAACTGCTGGTACGGGGGGGGGGGACACATCAAAACAAACAGTAAGGACCAAAAAGAAGTATAATGCAAATTTCATATTAAAGAACAAAACAACATATATAAAAACACCATTTTTTTTTTTTTTTTGGTGCCAGGGATCAAACTCAGGACCTTGCACTTGCAAGGCAGGCACAGTGCCACTGAGCTAAATCCCTCCCGGCCTCAAAACACTTTAACATTAGTCAACTAAAATCAGAATTAGTATCTCTCCAAAAGATTTTCCTTTTTTTTTATTTTCTTAATGAGGCATAGTTAACATACATTGTATATATTTAAGACATACAATGTAATGCTTTTGATTTGGGGTACTATGGACTGAAGCTAGAGCCCTAGAGCCTTACCCAGCCACTAATCCACACCCCTGAGCATCGAATGAGTTGCTGTTATAAAGGTATACATCAGCCTACCATCTTTTTCTTTTTTTCCTGATGAAAACAAATTTTAAGTATACCATGTTAACTATAGTCATCAAGCTGTTCATTAGATCTCCAGAACTCAGCTTATAACTGAATGACCACATCCTTTCAAAAGAGCATAAAAAACAATTTTAATCCATCTTAAAAGAAATGGAGCTTGGGCCGGGGATTTAGCTCAGTGGTTCGGCCACCTGCCTCGAAAGCGCAAGGTTCTGAGTTTGATCCCCGGTACCCCAAAAAAAGGAGCTCGTCTAATTATGAAATAGGTTGATCTGTGTACATAAAATGCTTTTTGATGGAGCACTAGTAAAAAATTATTATTGCAATTATGAAAATTATAAGACTAAAAGGCATTTCACAAAAAATTGGAAAGATCATCAATTAACCCCTCCAAATAACCTTTCTAACAATATCAAAGATGAACTGATTTGCTAAGTGTGGTGGCGCAAACCTGAAATCCCACCATGGGGAGGCTGAGGCAGGAGGATCACCAAGAGTTTGTGGCCAGCTTAGAATACACAATGAATTCAAGGCCAGCCCAAACTATACAGTGGGACCTTGTCTCTTTAAAAAAAAAAAAATTACCTGATTCAAATTAGAAAAACTGCAAATATTTTTCTTCAGCATTTAATAGGTTCTGTGACATAAACAACTGGCCCATTATCAGGGTATATTTTAATTTAATACACCGATTATTAATTAGGCCTAAAAAAACTCATGGCATGGGCTGGGGATTTAGCTCAGTGGTTCCACTGCCTGCCTCAAAAGCACAAGGACCTGAGTTCAATCCCTGATACCAAAGAAAAAAACAAAAAACCTCATGGCATGAGTAACAACACTAAGTATGAACCAGTTTTGCCACCATGGATGCCATTACTAAAAAAAAATAATTTGTTACTCCAATTAGTTATTAGAAAAAATTTTAAAGTATGTTTAGCCAGGTGTGGTAGTGCATGCCTATAATCCCAGCACTTGAGAGGCTGAGGAAGGAGGACTGCTTCAAGTTTGAGGCCACCCTGGGCTACACAGTAAGTTCAGGGCTAGCCTAAACTACACAGGAGATCCTACCAAAAAAAAAAATATATATATGTTTAGAACAACTCGATGTGACCCAACGTTTTCAAACGCAAATGTCATGAAGTCTGTATTATTTCCAATGAAAATCTAACATCTGAATTGAGTGATATCACATATGTGAAATACACTCTTGATTCTGAAGGATTAATATGAACCAGGAGAAAAATAAGTCTTTATATAATTTATGATTGTTACATGGATATTAATATTTACACCAATGTATGATTTATTAATTTAAAATATATCATCTTTTTACTTTTTAAAGTGTGGCTATTAGAAGACTGAGTTTCATTTGTAGCTCCTTAGTATCTTTATTACTGCTGATACAGTTAATTTTATAAAAATCAACACAGGATCACATAAAGTTAAAAATACAAACTACTGACTCCTCACCTAGATCACTTTCCTCACTTGATGGCTCATCTGTCTTTATGTTTTCCTCCGTCTTCTTACTATCTGTTTTTTCTTCCTAGCAAAGGGAAGGCAAACAGAGCTATCAGTGTTTAGTAACATATCCAACATATTCATACTAACATCTACAAATTTATGAGTAACTTCACATGCATTACATTTCAGTTGTTAATACTCCAGTTTCATTTTGATAAACTAATTTTTTGTTTGCATTTCTCCTTTTCAATTATAGGTCTAGTCCTATATCGAAATCTTGAAGATAATGCATTTTAGAACTTAAAAGTTCTTGGATTTTAGAAAATAAACACTCTGTAGATACCATGTACTATACATATAACACCCTTAATGGGAACTGCATCCTATGACTCTTCACAATAAAACAGATTATTTCTGCAAAATAAAGTTTGAACATTCACAGTAGTAGAAAGACTATAAATAGCTTGCTTCAGTGGTGTGCCTGTCATCCCAGCTACTTGGGAGACTGAGGCAGAAGGATTGCTTGAGCCATGAGTTTGAAACCAAAATGGGCCCAAGTTAAAAATAAATAAATAAAAATAAATATAAATAGACTAAATATAAATAGCCTCACGTCCATTCAGAAAATGTTTTACTACCAAATTTACTTTTCAAGTGATTTTCAATTTGGGAATTACAAGTATAGATCTGAATAACAGTAACATACAAACAAAAATTCAAAGAATTTAGAAGTGCACATGACGGAAAGCAAATTTTATTTCCATCCTAAAAGTAACCAGCGTTGGTTTCATATATACCCCATTCTAGGATATTCTCTACGTACATAAGAGACCTCTGCACTTTGCCTTTCAATCCAACAATGCTGTGTATCTTGGCACACACCATTATCGACTATGTCTATTCATTCAACTGTATGAGTATATCAGAAATTATTTAAGCTCCTTCTCCCTTTTTTAAAAATTGAAATTAAAGTCCTACCTTATTATATTTGTTGAGTCCCTACCAAATGTACAAATGATACACTTCAGCATATACTGAAATAATTATATTAATAATTATAATTCTAAAACAGCACATTTTATTAAAAAAAAATATTTTTACCAGGGACATAGGTTAAACAACTTTTGTCTCCACACAATGATCAAATGGCAAACAGGGACGACTTCAGAAAAAACTGTGATGACATCTAAAAAAGGGTAACTACTGGGCTGGGGATTTAGCTCAGTGGTTCCACCGCCTGCCTCCTAAGCACAAAGACCAGAGTTCGATCCCTGGTACCAAAAAAAAAAAAAAAGGTAACTACTCCATGGGCGGGTGTACCTTTTCTCATTTCACTTGTTCATAGCTGTAACTTCTATCTTCAAGTCCAAAATACACAAAAACAACAAATTTTCTAATCAGAAAACGCAAGAAAAAAATCTTTCAGGTATAAAAGCAGAAAATGGGAGAAATAAAAAATACAGTAAGCCCCAACTTCCTAGTTCTGTTTCAGGATAAACATTCCTAAATTGGATTCATTCCTAAGTCCAATAAAGTGAGTCTTATACAGTACACCTATGAAAAGTTTGCAACTTGAATTTCTTAAGTCCCCATACTGAACGGTTTTTTGGGTTTGACTTTTTTTAAGAGGATCTCACTGTCTTCCATAGGATGGTCTCACAACTCCTGGGATCAACTGCTCCTCCTGTCTTAGCCTCCTGTGCTGGACTACAGGTGTGTCCAACTTGAAGAAAGCATTCTTAAAAGTATGTTTTCCCCATCTCTAAACTTGAGCTACTGGCAATCTCCACCTTATTTTACTCACCCTTCTGCCCATTATGGTAGAATAACATCATAATTCATACTCAAAGTCATCCCTTAGACTCAAGGCAGAAAAAATTGAGAACCACTGACTTGAAATACTTGCTCATTTACTATGTAATGCATAAGCCACTGAGCTGGGCACTAAAACATTTATTTTAAGATACAGTAAACATCCTACTCCAAATTCTCAGTTTTCAATCAGCCTCCTGAGATTTGGTCCACACACAGAAATTTTACAAGGACAGATAAAACTCTTAAAATAATCCTATTTCCATGGGATATTAAGGAAATTGGCAGTAGTATTTTAAGAGCAAAAACATCTCCTAAAAAAATTCCAACAGTATTTTATCACTAAACACACAAACAAAATTAAAACTTACCTTGATATTTTCTTCTGATTTAGCTTTATGAGTAGCAGGTGGTACTTTACCCCCCATGCTTAAGAGAAAAAAAAATTGTTTAGCAAATTGAAATTCACTGAGTCAAGCAACATATTTATGCCTAAAAGATGTTTAGAAGACTATTCTTTCAAAATTTAAAATAAGCTTTCAATTAATTTGAATGCTTTATATTATTGTTAAGTTTTTTAATCCACTTAAAATTTTATTTTTAGCGTACTGGTTAATGGAACCCTGTCCCTTCCTTTATAAACCTAACAAAGTGGGGCACACCTTTGTAATCCCAGCACTGGGGAGGCAAAGGCAGAAGTATCACTGGGAATTTGAAGCCAACCTGGGCTACAGAGGGAGTTCAAGTCTAGCCTGAACTACATAGTAAGACACCGTCTCAAAAAACAAAACCAAACAAAAACCTAACAAACAAGGGCTGGGCATTTAGCTCAGTGGTTCTGGCACCTGCCTCACAAGCGCAAGGTCCCAAGTTCAATCCCAGGTACCAAAAAACAAAACAAAACAAAACAAAAAACACCTAACAAACATAATTATATGGCTTTTCCATGCCCATTCCTAGAGGAAAAATAAAAGGCAAAGAACTCAATATGCAATGACAAAATTATTCACATGAATTGTTAGCTTGGATTTCAGGAGTTATACTGGCCATGGTGATACACATCTGTAATCCCAGCACTCATGGAGGCTGAGGCAGGAGAATCTCAAATTTGAGCTCAGCCTGGGCAACTAATTCAAAAATGGTTGGGGGTGTGGCTCACTGCAAAGGTACAGCCAGTGCTGCCAAAAAAAAAAAAAAAAAAAAAGGCCAAAGGCCGAGGGTGTAGCTAAGTGTACAGACTGTGGTTTCATGTGAGGGGGAACTATAAGGATTCTTCTTGCTTATAGTCACATACCCTCCATATCAGATTTTCACCTCATCTCTAGACTGTACCCATTAACATTCCCTCTGGTCCTTCCAAACCCTTGTTTCTCAAATAGTCCAGAGCAACATCATAAATTACATGCATTTAATAAAAACAAAAGACTCAGAGAATTAATGTTATATGCTCCAACTGGTGTAGATCCTGAAGCATATGAGCTGTATTCCAAGGGTCCGGTGGCTAAGGTCACAAACAACAAACCAGCAGCCACAACAAAAAACCATTAACTTCTATATAAATCAAGGATTATATGCCTTAGAAAACAGAAAGGGACCTGTTCTAAAATACCATTGAGATTTTGAAGCTTTCATAGCTACAGTTGTTATATCCACATTTACATTCATGTCAGTTGGGTGGCATATGTGGGAATAGAATATATGCAAGTTAAATTTAAATCTGTACCAATTTTCCAAAGTTCTTTTTACCAATGTACACTTATCAGCAATGTATGATAATTCTAATTGTTATACACTTGGTCAACAGTTATTGTTCACTCTTAAAATTTTTAGCCTTTCTCATGTGTCTGTGGGATCTTACTGTGTTGAGCCCTTTTTTATAAATGTATTGGCTATTCCTTAACAAAGTTCTATTCTCCTTCAGCTTTCTATCAGGTTGCCTTTATTTGTTGATGTTCTTTCTTTATTCTATGTGAGTTCTCTGTCAGTTTTATGTATTGCAAATATTTTTTCTCACCTTGTGGTTTGGCTTTTCACTCCAAAATCTTTTTTCTCAGTCCTGAGGATCAAACCCAGGGCCTTCCACTGTGCTACACCCTCAGCCTTTCTGTGACATAGGGCCTCCCTAAGTTGTCCAGGCTGAACTTAAACTTGTGCTCTTCCTGAGTAGCTGGGGTTACAGGCAATCACAGGCATACACAACAGTGACTAGCTCTTAATATTTTTTGATGAATGTTCTTTTGGAACCAGGGATCGAACTCAGGACCTTGCACTTGCAAGGCAGCAGTGGCACCACTGAGCTAAATCCCCAGCTCCTGATAAATTTAACATAAAGCATAAATGTAATACAGCAGGACCAGGGATTTAGCTCAGTGATTCCACTGCCTGACTCTAAAGCATAAGGTCCTGAGTTCGATCCCCAGTACCAAAAAAAAAGTACTGCACCAAATAAAATGAAAATAAACAAAATTTGGAATCTTACAAGCACCATTTTGCTCCCAAAAAAGTACATACTTTCTATTCTGTTTAATATATTACTAAAAATCAATCACTCAGTATCTTGAAAAAGATCATTACATGATCCCAAACATCATAGTAATATGATTTAAAGAAACACATGTCTAAAAAAAAATAAAATTCACCAGGGATTTAGCTCAGTGCTTCTGCTGCCTGCCTCACAAGCTCAAGGTCCCAAGTTCGATTCCCGTACAAAAATAAAATAAAATAAAATAAAATTCTTTTCCATAGGAAAATCTTTTTCAAAAGCACACAGTAATCAAACACTAGCTCTGTGTGCTTAAATTTTAATGAAGACACAGGGCTTCTTAAGCTGTATTTTTCCTGTTTCAAAATGCAGCATCACGAATGTATTTAGAGTAACATCCAAACATAGTCTCAACAGTCTAACTTTGTGAAGTGATATTCCTGCCAAGAAATGTAGTAAGCTAAATCTAATTCTAAGAAAAGATCAGACAAACACAATGTAAGGGGAAATTTTACAAACAACTGGCTTGTAATATTCAAACTGTCAAAACCATAAAGTCAAGGTGTGAGTGAAAAACTGTTTTACAATGAAGGAAATGAGTCATGACAACCAAATGCAACATGTTCCTGTGTGTGGTGGTGCACGCCTTTAATCCCAGCACTCCGGAGGCTGAGGCAGGAGGATGGCATCAAGTTTGAGGCCAACCTGGGCTATGCAATGAGTTCAGGGCCAGCCTGAACTACAAAGGGAGATCCTGACTCAAAAAGCAAAATAAAATAACCAAAAACAAACAAACAAAAAAAGCAACATGTAATTCTGAGAATTAGGTAGTATTAATGTATCCTTATTAGTTTCCTGAGTTTGATGGTTGCATTGTAGAAACTGTCTTTGTTTATAGAAAATACTCCAAGATGTTGGGGGCGGGGCATAATGTTGGCAGCTTACACTCAAATAGTTCAGGAAAAATGGATCATTGTACTATACAGTACTTGCAATTTTTCTTTGAGCCAGAAGTTGTTCCAAAAATACAAAAATTAAGTACAAGAGGGTTTATTCATAAACTAGATCTAGAGTTTCTCAAATTTCAAATTCTAGTTCACTTTTTTTTTTTTTTGGTACTGAAGATCGAACTTGGGACCTCGTGCTTGCGAGGTAGGCACCAGAACCACTGAGCTAAATCCCTGGCCCTCTCATTCACTATTGTAAGTTAACACCAATTTATAGGTACAGATGTTCCAATTAAAACTTCCAAGATTAAGAATACAGTGGTTTCCTGCCAGATATTGCCATTTAGACTTCAACAGAATAGGTTTTTATTCATACCATCAAGTAGGGGTGGTGCAGAGACCTTCCTCAGAGGATCACAAGACTCCATTCATCATTCTTTTAATTTGAGAATTAAAACTTTCAATCTGGGGCCGGGGATTTAGCTCAGTGGTTCCACCGCCTGCCCTGCAAGCGCAAGGACCCAAATTCGATCCCTGGTACCAAAAAAAACAACTTTCAACCTGCTTTGTGCTGTAATTATTTATATAGAATGTCCAACAAACTGAGTGTTATATTCTGAATTCTGTACTGTGGGTAGAAATGCAATCTTTACATTTCTTCTAAACTATTTACTAAAAGCATGTGTCATGCACTGCACTGGAGAGAATACATAGAAACTGCACTTGACTTTAATTAATAATCAAACAAACTGATAAAAGGACACACAAGATACAAAGTAGACAAAGTTATTAAATAGGAAAAAAAATGTCAGACATTGCTTCTCCTTTAAAAGAGTAAAACAAACTGGGCCTAGTGGTACATGCCTGTAATCCCAACTACTCTGGAAGGCTGAGGCAGGAGGATTCCAAATTCAAGATCAGGTAAGGTGACTTTGCATGCATGACCTAATCTCCAATTTTTAAAAAAGGACTGGAGATGTTGCTCAGCACAAGACTGCTTGCCTAGCATACCCTAGGCCTTGGATTTTAGTCTCAGTACTAGATAAAAAGGGTAAAACAAAACAAGCAGGTTGTGGTGGCGCACACCTGTGATCCCAGCAGGCTGAGGCAGGCAGATCAATCACTATGAGTTCCAGGCCAGCCTGGGCTCCATAGTGAGTTCATGGCCAGCCTGAACCTCATAGCGAGGCCATTTCAAACAAACATACATCTCAAAATAAATTTGTGGAGAACAACACAGTCTTTCTGTGTTCCCACTATTCAGATTTCTTGTTCATATTTCTTTTTGTACAATTTAAAGTTATTAAACTAATAAATTTTGACATCAAATAAAACTTTGCTAAAACCATGATAGCCATTATAGCAAATGGTTTAAGCCATTAAGCAAATAAACTATGAGGGAGAGAACTCCAAAGTGGTTTCAACTCAGGAATCCAGTAATAACTGTATTAGTTTTTCTAGACCTCAGTCATCTTCACCTTCAGCCCAACCTACCACCATCGTGGACTGCTATGAATACAAGGCGAGTAACTGATACAAACCCAATTAAAAGCCTCAGAGTCCATGAAAATGAAAGTTCAAATTTAGATAAAAATAAAGAGATAAGCGAGGCGAGGGTGGCACACGTCTATAATCCTAGCACTTATGAGGCTGAGGCAGGCCAATCACTGGGAATTCAAGGCCAGCATGGGCTACATAGTGAGTTTAAGGACACCCTGAACTACATAGCAAGACTGTCTTTAATTTAAAAAACCCAAAAAACGTGTGTGTGTGTGTATATATATTATATATGTGATCTGCTTATCAAGGAAAGAAAGATACACAAACACGTCAAACTAAGTAATGTGAAGGAAGATTAAGAAAATTAAAGGGAAATACCCAGATTGAAAAGATAAACTGTAATCTCTTTTTAAATTCACCACTAGTAATGAGGAAGACGCTGGCAGCTCTCCCACTCCACCCATTTGCTGGGGATTGAACACTGGTCCGAGACCTGCTAGTAGTGATGTTTAAAAAAGAATCACCTCCTGGAGGTATACTTTCTTCTTTTTCTTTGGGTGCTCCTCCAATAAACAGCTAGTATCTACTACAAAATAAAACATGATATTTATTCATCTATACTTCCAAATAGAGAGTACTGTTTCCAGTAGTTGGCACAATGCCCCTTGCATTAATTCTTTGTGCGTAGGGAAGTAAAAGGCAAGGTAAAGATAAGAATATATCTTCGAAACACGCTGGTCCACCAAAAAAAATCATTTTCCTTAAAGCGTCTGTGGAGATAGCACTGCCACTAATGGAAGTACAACAAACGACTCCCAAGATAATTCTACGCAGATAGAATCACTGTAAGGTAAAACCAATCAGTTATCTAATTATAATTTATTGAACTATCCTTACAACACTATTTAAAAGGATGAGGCATAAAAACGCTCCAATGTGCCAACGCGACCTACACAGGACGCCAGAGAATTAAAGAAAAACTCCCCACGCGACAGCCAAGTTTTGCACTTCTCGCCCCAATTCCTGCACCACTCCCGTCCCCAGGCCCCAGGGCCCCGCAATCGTCTGCATTTACTTCGCGCGAGACGCACGCCTGGAGGCCTCAGGGTGCGGGGAGCCCAGTTCTGTCCCACGCTCGCGATCCTCCGGCAACTCGAAGTCGCCTCCCTTCCAGGCTAGAGAGCGGGGTCACCGAGCGGTTCCGATTCCTCTCCTCTCTGCGCCGCGCCAGCTTGGGCCCAGCTCCCCCTCTTCCCGCTCCAACGGTCACTGGGCCTGGGCCCGGGTCTCACCTCTCCACCCACTCCCTCAGGAAGCGCATCTCCTCTGTGTGCAGGACGCTCGGATCTTGCTTACACATTTTCACGAAAGCCCGAAGCTCGTTTACTTTGCGGGGATCCATGGTAGGCAGACTATGGTCAGTGGCTGCTCAGGAGGCTGCGACCGGATCCCAAGCCCAGGCGCTGGCTCGGCGAGACCGCGTAGAAGGGGGCGGTTGCCGCGAGGCCGACCAAACTAGAACCTCCCCATTCGCTGGCTCCTCCCCTCAACGGCCTCGTGACCCTGGGTCCTTCCCTTGCTCATTCCTACGCCTTCTATCTCTGCTCCTGCGCACTGGCTAGAACCTTCTAGAAGTGTGGCTGTTCGTGCTCTTGCCTGCCTCTCTACACAAACATTCTTACACTATCGAACCAGTTGCCAGGAAGGGTCAAGCGGTGTACGTAGACGCTTTCAGACGGGCAGGAGGCACTAGCTCCTCCAGGGAGCCTTTTAGAATCGGATGTTCTGTGAATGGGGACATTAAATGGATCGACGCAGAGAATAAAAAGCGCCTCGGTCCGAGCACCAGGCTCAGGCGTGACGTCAGCATCCTGCGCCGCCCGGAATGAAAGCCCGCCAGCGGCGCCGGCCGGAAGGGGTGGAGGCGTTGGCCTGGTTCCTTGGCTACGCGGTTCTGCAGGAGGCTGTTTCCTGCGCTGATTTTCTCTCCCTTCCTGACTCGTGAGCTGGCAGTTATGCCTTGGCTGCTCTCAACTCTCAAGCTGATTCCCGCCGTCCCAAGCGCACGCGGTTTCTCAGGTTAGACTTTCCTCCCACGGTGTCCCCTCAGAAGCCTGAGGTGCCCAGTGGGATCCGAGTTGGCCTCAGTCGGTCCCTGGTTCTACGGACCCTTCTCCTGCTGGGGCCTCCGTGGACTTCATCTTTACCGGCTACTCCTGGAAAAGGGTGGGCCCTGTGCTCTTTCTACATGAGATTCTGGGAAGCTGAAATGACTGCCCAGAGAAAAGTGTGTGCCATCCCCCCGAGGGACTGTCTTCAGAGTTACTCGGACTCAAGTTGTCTAATCACACTTGTTTAAGTGATAAAATCACACCGTTTAGCTCTTGTTTCTGTTGGGTCAACATAAAATCCTATTTTCATGTTTTCAAAGAGTTGATTCAGAAGCTGGCCCCAGAATGCACAAGAACATGTTTAGTACCACACATCTTCTGGGCAGTTCCTCTCAGAAGAGCTGGGAATACTCCGGGTCTTTTTATATCTGAAACTTTTTGTAATGACAAAATGAAGGAGCCCAGGAATAAGGGGAACCATGCTTTCTTGGATGTGCTCTACTTTGAATCATTAATGTGATGAATATGAAGTTTAAATAGTGAAAACTGAATCATCTACTTTGCAGTCAGATCTGCCACTGGATTATATTTCAGTTTGGGGAGCCAGTATGTGAACTAATGCATATGATATTTGACATGAAAGCTATGTCTTGGCATTTATGATGATGTACTTGGATTCACTGAAAGTGAAATGAAATGTTAATTACAAATACTTATTTTTTTTCTTCTACTTCTTTCTGTAAAAAAATCACTAGCCGGGCATGGTGGCATGTGCCTGTAATCCCAGCAGTCAGGAGGCTGAGGCAGAAGGATTGCCAGGAATTCGAGGTCATCCTCCTGGGCTATATAGTGAGTTCAAGGCCAGCCTAAACTGCATAGAGAGACCCTCTTTTTTTTTTTTTTTTTTTTTTTGGTACCAGGGATCAAACTTGGGACCTTCCGCTTGCAAGGCAGGTGGCGGAACCACTGAGCTAAATCCCCGGCCCAATGTGAAACCCTGTCTTTAAAAAAAAAAAATCACTGTTCACTGCACAAAACTTGCTCATCAATTCTAATACATATTAAAGCTGCATGCAAAAATCTATCCTGGTTGGAGTAGGTGAAAAGATATATGATAGTTCAGTCTTAGTCACAGAGGCCACAACCTAAGGTTTTGAGCTGGAAGCATCCTTTGCTTATGACCTTTGATTTTGTTGAGGATGAGTGTAAAACTTCATTATTCAAGATTTAGGACTACATACTGAAGCAGGGTGTGATGGTGCACCCCTGTAATCCCAGCATTTGGGAAGCCAGGCAGGAAGTTCATTATGAATTCAAAGCCAGCCTCGGCTACATAATGAGTTCAAGGCCAGCCTGAACTACCTAACAAGACCCTGCCATAAAAAAAAGATTTCAGGACCGGGGACTTAGCTCAGTGGTGCTGCTGCCTGTCTTACAAGCTCAGGGTCCCAAGTTCGATCTCTGGTACCAAAAAAAAAAAAATTTCATTAGGTGGAGTGTGCTATTAACTTTATCTAGTCATCTGAGACAAGCAAAATAAAACATTAGTGATACATAAGTTGTATTTTAAAAATTAAATCATTTAAGATCAGTTTGATATTTGAAAGGGAAATAATGAAAAATTTAAAAATTATAAGTAGAGAGTACTTTTAAAAACCTATTCCCAGGTAATAGCTCATTCATGAAACACTGCACCAGCCAGGCATGGTGGCACACACCTGTGATCCCAGCACTCAAGAGGCTGAGGTAGGAGGATAGCTGTGAGTTCGAGGTCAGCCTGAACTACCTAGGGATACCCTGTCTCAAAAAGCACAAAGAAAAGCTAACTGGAAGAAAGGTGTCATTGTGGTAGAACAAGTGCAGAGGCACAGAACTCTGAAACAGTGGTCTGCACTAAGCATCTCAGTCATTTGGTATAGTTGGAGAAGCTTTTATGAAATACGTTCCTGGATATATTAATAGGTGTTACACTACAATGAATCTATGTTCAAATATTTACATTGCATGACAGGGAGATGTATTTTGGCAGTAATTTGCAAAAAGAAATTGACTGTGGAGCCCCTTTTCTGTGGTGAATCTTGAACTAGTAAACCTGGAACATATTTTGGAAACAATTAGGCTGTAGCATCGATAAGTACAAAGAGATGATAGAAAATCAAGTTGGGGGCCAGGGATTTAGCTCAGTGGTTCCCCCGCCTGCCTTGCAAGCGCAAGGTCCCTAGTTTGATCCCCAGTACCAAAAAAAAAAAAATCAAGTTGGGGGTGGAAACCTAATGGTTGACTCATGGAGGGCCTTGTAGAATATGTTAAGAAACAATGAACTAGGGGCTGGGGATTTAGTTCAGTGGTTTCGCCGCCTGCTGTGCAAGCGCAAGGACCTGAGTTCGATCCCTCATACCAAAGAAAAGAAACAATGAACTTTTTCTTCTAAGCAATGGGAAACCTAATTCTTCAAGTATTGCATAAAATGATTAAAATTGAATTTTTTAGTTCTTTGTTAAAAGTGGAGAAATGGACTAGATGGTTATATAAGTAGCACTTAAAATACCCTAAGCTTCTATAATTTTAATTCCTGAAAACAAATTTTAGATGCTAATTGTGCCCAGACCTTCCCTGTAATAAATTACCTTTCCTACTCACATATATACCCCTTGGAAAATGAATAATACAAAACAAAGGCTCAGACTTTACTATAGCAGTCATTTAAAACTACTAGATATTGGGCCTGGGGATTTAGCTCAGTGGTGCCACTGCCTGCCTCTCAAGCATAGGGCCCTGAGTTTGATCCCTGGTACTCCCCCCCCAAAAAAAATTCCAGATCTGGGGCCAGGGATTTAGCTCAGTGGCACCATGCCTGCCTTGCAAGCACAAGGTCCTGAGTTTGATCCCCGATACCAAAAAAAATCCAGAAAAATAGTAGTTATTATGCCAGGTGTGGTGGGGCTTGCCTGTAATCCCTGCACTTGGGAAGCTGAGGCAGGAGGATCACCATGAGTTTGAGGCCAGCCTGAACTACATAGCAAGACCCTGTCTCAAAAAAACAAAACAAAAGACAGACTGACAGATTGCTTTGACAAATCTTGGTTAATACTGGCTGGAAATAAATTATGGTAAAATAACATTACATAGGGCCGGGGATTTAGCTCGGTGGTTCCGCTGGCTACCTCGCAAGCGCAAGGACCTGAGTTCGATCACCGGTACAAAAAAAAAAAATAGACATTACATAAAATATACTATATTAACCATTTTGAATGTATAGCTTGGTAGTGTTAAGTATATTCACATTGTTGTGAAACATCTCCAGGACATTTTTGTTTTGGAAATCTGAAGCTTCATACCTATTAAGTAACTACCTCCCTCTTCCAGCCTCTAGTAATCACCATTCTACAGTCTCTATGAATTTTTTTTTTCCTAGTACCAGGGATCAAACTCAGGACCTTGCACTTTCGAGGCAAGTGCCATGCCACTAAACTAAAACTCCAGCACTATCTCTATAAATTTGACTACTTTAGATACTTCATTTAATTGAATTATCAAATATCCTGAAGGTTCATCTCTCTCTTGTGTATAGTTTATATCTGGCTTTTTTTTTTTTTTTTTGGTACCAAGGATCGAACTTGAGTCCTTGCACTTGCGCAGCAGGTGGCGAAACCAGTGAGCTAAATCCCTGGCCCTATCTGGCTATTTTTAATTTAAAATACTTATATGACGAAGTTATATATCAAATACTTTGCTTTCATTGGTGAGTCATCTGAATAATTTCATAATCTGAATCTGTATATCCTAGTACAATTTTATCCTAATGTATGTGTTTCAAAAGTTTGTAGGGCCGGGGATTTAGCTCAGTGGTTCCGCTGGCTTCCTCGCAAGCGCAAGGACCTGAGTTCGAGCCCCAGTACCAAAAAAAAAAAATTACCAGTTGTTACCACAAACGCATCTTTTTCTGACATTCCTCATCCAAATAACTACTTACCAGATGTCCACAAACCTGCTTAAAATGTTAAAAACAGACTCTTAGTATTAAACAAATGTTATCTGCAAAACTGTGATTAACGAACACAGAGAGTCATGTTCAAATGTTATATGAGCAAAGTATGTCTGAAGAGTCAGTTTAGTGATTCCTTTTGGCTGATTTCTGTACCTCTTTGTGCTTCCTTTTTTTCCTCTTACCATCTTCTTTGAATCCTGCTGAGAAAATAGTGATCCCAGTTACTAGAGACCCAAGGTATAGCTTCCTCATCGTTGTCCATTAAAGTATATTGGAACACGTGCTTGGGGCTGTGGGAATTTGATAAATGTTGAATGATTGTTTTCTCCAGCTGCATTCTTCTGCAAATTCCTCTTTGTCTCCCATGTCATTTACAAAGAGGAATTTCAACTTGATATCATCTTCAGCTTCTGTTTCTTGATCATTCTCAATATTTTTGTTTGAATTGATATTTCTGCCATTAACAATCTCGCCTGAAGTTGTAACGTAAAAGTGGTTTTCAGCACAATGCCTGCCTGGCAAGCATGAGGTCCTGAGTGGTTTCTCAGCCCAGTATCATCAGATGCCACGGAAGACAATGAAGTAATGCCCTCATGCCCCAGTGAACCATAAGACATATATCCTGTATCAGATAAAATGTCTCAAAAACTGAATGTTCACTGGAAGTAGAATAAAAGGATCCTGCACCTCTGCTTGTGTTTCTGTTTCCATACGAGCTTCTTTTTAAAAGATTTTCAAGAGAGTCTTCAAAGAAGTAAAATGAAAATGTGTCCTTTTCACCAGACATTTCTTTAAAAACATCATCTGGCTAAGGCTGGGATTTAGCTCAGCGGCACCTTGCCTGCCTTGCAAGTGCAAGGTTCCTGAGTTCGATCCCTGGTACCAAAAAAAGACATCATCTGGCTTATGGAATATGAAGCCATAATCACATTCATCATCAAAATCACTTCCACCTCCACCACTTAATCTTTCCTTGCCAT